TATTTGGCAGATATGAAACTATGATATTTTAGAATATGATATCTGAAAACTCAGAAGCAAAAGCAGATACCTCGTGCATTTGAGGGTGGCTGTGGAGGAGTTACTGTTGGAGATAGTGTTGGTGTTGGTGGAACTGCAGATTCCAGACCAGCTGCAGGGTCATAGAAACGATAGATCTCATACCTAAAGTTACAACTGGGTGCTATAACCCTTCCTCCTGCCTTCCCATCACAACATTGTGGAATTCTTGAAATGGTATCGATAAGGCAATTGTTGCAGTCATCCCCAGATAAATCAGGAGTGCACTGCACAAGTGCAAATATGATTTTGAAACCAGGAGCTGATGCATTTGCAGTTGCATACTTACGAAGAGAGCCACCCGATGCGGCTCTATTTCGCAGGTTATCCAACAAGTTCCTCAGAACCTGATTGAATCCATCCTGTTGTGTAACATTTTCTCGGTTCCACATGTAGAACACAGCACTACTTTTCTTGATGCCAAACATAGATAGATTTGAGTAACGAAACATACAATTATCATAGAAGACAAATGCGTCCTTCTGGTTTGGACATTGCCCAGTGAGCTGGTTGGCAGCATTTTGAATGCAGCTGTCACAAGCATCAGGTCGAACATCTCCTCTACAAAGTGCAATTGCATTAACAATATCATTGTTTTGGCCAGTAGAGATGTTGTAGAACCCATAATCATTTTGTTCAAGAGATGAAAGGTTAGAGACAAGTTGTTTGAGATTTGTGGAGTAGGTACTATTGGCAGTGTAGTTGCCCAGGGTGTTTGAACATAAGTGATACAATGGTTCTGGCCGATTCTGGGCTATTGTGAGATTAACAAGCCATGTCAGAATCAAAGAAAAGAAAATCAGCCCTGAAGAACTCATTGCATCTAACTCAGCCTCTCAAGATGATCAACTGCAGAGAGCATTTAAGGAAGAAAGACTCAGCTAGAATTTAAGGCTTTGGTACTCCTATACCAACCTACGTTGGAAAGTCCAACCCAATTTGCACAGCTATCCATTTAGGTCGGTCAAAATGTTTGTCGTCTTTCACAATGGCTTTCGTTTGCTTTAATTTCCAGAATTTGCTTAAATAACATATAAATATATATACGAACTGAAAGTCGTTTAGACATGAGGGAAGTAGTGAAATTAGGTCACTTCCTAAAAGGAGGACCTTCGGACGACTTCAGCGTGCCAAAGGGGTAACATATACATATACATATACATATATATTTGATTATATGGTGATTCTACGTAGTTTAATACATAGATCCATTGACTGATTATCTAAATTAATCCTCTAAATATTCACACCCTCTCTAAATAAGCTAGTATGGACCAAACAAGACAAAATATGCCCTTCTAACTAAAACATTTCAAATTCAAGGATGTTTTATTACCTTATTTGCAAATTTTAAGTAGATAAAAATTAAGTATATTCTTGTTATTTTTGTATCATATGTACTAAAACTTTTAGCGAAATGGGGATTGTATAATAAATGTTATTTTGGTAATTGTTTCCTCTGTTCTTCCTCACCCTCAAAACTCTGTTAAATGGAGAAGAATAATAGAATCTGCTGAATCATTCAGGAGAACAAAGTTTCTGCATATCATCAATTAGTCATCCTCGTGTCGAAATAATCACTACAATTTCGCACCAACAAACTGCAAGTTTTAGTGTCATCATAATTGTTTTAAACCACAAACAGTATCGTTTCAAATTAAGTCAAAACTCTTAAGTATTATCTTCTGAAGCCAAGTACTTTGTTCATGCTGCGAGAAAAAATGAAGGGAGGAGAATTTTGAGGAAGGTGAGCAGGAAATTGGAGAAGGGAGAAACAGTTGTTCATGCTGCGAGAAAAAATGAAGGGAAGAGAATTTTGAGGAAAGTGAGCAGGAAATTGGAGAAGGGAGAAACAGTTGACGAGCCTTCTCCAACTATTGCCTATTCCACATACAACATGATCCAACATTACCATGGATATCATTGAAGGTTTACGGAAGTATAGAGGTCACCAAGAAATCCGTGTTTGGACAGAGAAACCAATATGCGCATTTTCAAACTATAGTACACCTCCTTTTAGCTGAAAAAGTGGCTAAATTTTATCATGGACCCTAATTTAAAACGCCGTGGTTTACTATACATCTGACTATGATTCTATTTTCCACAACACATTTTGGCAAGAATAATTCATACTTGAAGGGGACTCTCTCGCCCATTCTAAGCTTGAAAAAATTACATCCGTTGTATTTGTCATGGTAAGCCTCCCCAAGTGGGAATCTCGGCTTCCTCTATCAGAATTCATATACAATATATGACTAGCCTTCTCTAATGCACATTGCTTATCTTCAAGGAGACACTAAGATTCCCTCACTTCAGACAAGAACAACTAAAACTTCTCAAGCTCTATCTACAGAGAGCACAGCACAAAATGAAGCAATTGGCTGGTACTCACAGGAGAGTATCAAGTTTCATTGTATGAGACAGTATATATGTATAGACAACAATCTCTGGTCCAACTTGTTACCGAAGGGCTTGAAACCATTTATAAAGGGCCCCTCGAGGTGATTCAATGAATTGAATTCTTGGCTTCAAAGCAGTCAGATGGTTGCAGTTTTTCATGTTTCTCAACTTAAAAAGACGATATCTCCTACCAAGCTACAAGATACCAGGAGAACACAAGCTTCCTTCGAAATTCTCATATGCGGACTTATTATACACCAGAACCAACCACTGGTTCAACTGCTGGCTCAACGAGTCCTGGGTATATGTTCCAACTTTCCAAGAACAATTTCGGCGCTCTTAAAGGGATATTATTGCATGCAAAATACAAAAAGGGGAAAGGAAGAATGGAAACTTGATTGGTTCGGTCAATCAAAAGTATAAGCACCTGAGGATTTCATGAATGGAAAGTTTGAATGCCGTCTTTTCTCTTTATTTCCTTGTCTCTCTATTCTCTCAAATTTCCCTCACATCAGAAAGCGCCTAAATTGATCTGATAATCTGATTGTAAAGGAAAAATAGATTTAAAGAGAGAGATACAAAAGCAGGATTTATAAAACTTAGTACACAGTTGATGTTTTGTTTACAAGGAAAAAGAATAGCTTTAAGGATCTTTGACTCTCCGCAGATGCCTCAAGCCTCCGCTCTGATCTTTCTGGTCTTGAAAAACTTGGTTGAGGTAATGTTAACTTTAGAGAAGCAAATTGGAAGAGGATGAATGACGAAAGGAGCTTCATTAGTCTCTGTTGAAAATTTATTCTGACAAGGGAAAGGGAAAGTGGAAGCGAAAGTGAAAGGGAAATTAAAAGTGAAGGGCGAAAATGGTGATTTAGTGTTCTATAAATAAACGGTAGAGATTGAGTTTTTTTCTTCTAGATCTAACGGTCACATCATACTTTCTTTTCAATTCCCAAAAATTAATCATATTCATATGGTACCGCCCTAAAACCCTAACTACATTTTTGGAACTCCAGCGACCTTCTGTCTTAATTTTTTTTATTAAAAGAAACACTTCTCTCTCTCCCTCTTTGTTAATCACCTTAACTTGCTGATCCTTTCTCTAAACAATATTCAACCAGCCAAAGGAAGAATGTTGAATGCTTTCCCTAAATCCTCTATCATTTTCACTACTTCCAAACCTTGCCTTTCCTCCCGGATAAGTAACTTTGGCATCGGTTTCTACTCCGACAGCAAGAGAGTCAGAGGGAGGTACAAGCAAAGATTCTCTCCGATAAACCTCCAACCATGGATACCGCGACACCCGAGTCGTTCTCTCGCTATAGTCCACAACTCGGTTGGTGCCGAGTCTGGCGCCGCCGACGTGAGAGGCGCAGTGGCGCCGTCTAGAAAGTTTGGGAAGAGGACGGATTTGAAGAAGATTCTCATCCTCGGTGCGGGACCAATCGTGATCGGCCAAGCTTGTGAGTTCGACTACTCAGGTACTCAAGCGTGCAAGGCGCTCAGGGAGGAAGGATACCAAGTTATTTTGATAAACTCGAATCCGGCTACGATCATGACTGACCCAGACATGGCGGACCGGACTTACATTACGCCAATGACTCCGGAGCTGGTGGAGCAGGTGCTCGAGAAGGAGCGTCCCGATGCGCTCTTGCCCACTATGGGCGGGCAGACTGCCTTGAACCTCGCCGTAGCTTTGGCTGAGAGCGGAGTGCTCGAGAAATACGGCATTGAATTGATTGGCGCGAAACTCGATGCCATCAAAAAAGCGGAGGACAGAGACCTGTTTAAACAAGCAATGAAAAACATCGGCCTGAAAACGCCGCCGTCTGGGGTAGGAAACACTCTGGACGAATGCATAGAGATAGCCAGCGAAATCGGCGAGTTCCCGTTGATTATCCGTCCCGCATTCACCTTGGGTGGGACCGGAGGCGGGATTGCATACAACAAGGAGGAGTTCGAGGCCATCTGCAAGGCGGGATTGGCTGCAAGCTTGACCTCGCAAGTCTTGGTGGAGAAATCTTTGTTGGGATGGAAG